AACTATGTTAAGTACAACACTGTTTGACCGATGGCTCAGGCATATTTCTAGCTAACTCTCACATCTTAAATTAACTGTGGCTGTGGCTTACTGTTAAGGTTCTGGCATCTTTCTTCTTTGGAAGCTACATGGCACCTCTTTGACTCCACCTACTCTCTTTACATATCTCTGTTTGGATTTCCTGCCTGGCTTTACTCTGCTAAGCCATTGGCTAAAATAGTTTTATTCATCAATCAATAAAAGCAACACACATACAGAAGGACATAACACATCAGGCAATGACAGTAAGACGTATGAGACTACAAACTGAGGGTAAGCCAACCCCACACATACTAGCATCAAACAGTGGATCAGTTGCAGTAAAGGAACATGCTATTGATTGGATCCATTGGATCTTTTATGTAAAAGTCAGACTTACATTAGCAAAGTTGTACATAAATTCAGAGACAACTTTATTAGAGAGGTAAACTTGAGTACCTGACAGAAGTCATTCTTATCCACTGTCCAAACTAACACACAGTTTAATATAATCCCAGTCTGGATCCCAGTGAGATGGACTTTTAGGGAAACTTGGCAAACACTCCCAGAGAACTAGGCTGGGCGTGTGAGCAACGTTCCTTACAAAGCCGCATGATGAGAACTGATACAGAATCAGACACACCAAATACAGAAAGTGAATGGAGCCTAATGTCAGGCTCACTTACTCACAGAAGCTGGGCAGCTGGGCTTACATCAGGTGCTACACCACGGTTCTGTAGATTACTTATCTACACAGGAAACAAAATAAGACACCTGCTTCATACCATATGGGAGAACATCAATTTGAGGACAATTCCAAACTTGATAGGATGGTGAGGATGAACCTTTTTAAACAAAAAAACAAACAAAACCATAAAAGAAAAGTAGACATGTGGTTTTTGGTGGGTATATTTTTAAAGAAGTCACAAAGCTAATTATAAAATAATTAAGCTATGAAAGGCTAAAAATAAAGTCTGTAGTTCATGAAAAAAATACCTTTAAGTGGATAGATAAGCCACAATCCGCAGAAACAACATTATAATTTACATTAAAATTAAAGGGTGTGTCCAGTGTTCTAGCTTGTATAAGCCTGCACAAATCAACAAAAACAAACAAACAAACAAAAAACAATCAACCGAACCATACAAAGTCATTAGAAAAATAATAAAAAGAGATTTGAAAGCATTTCGGAAGAAACCTGATATAGTTCAGCATGGTGGTAGAGAGAGGCAGAGGCAGAGGAGGGCAAGAAAAATTCCAGACAGCCACAGCAAGTTAGAAGCTAGCCTGGGCTACAAGTGACCCTATTTCAGAAAAGGAAAGAGAAGGACGTGAAGGGGGAGAAAAAGGAGCGGAGGAATGGCTCCAGCAGTAGCAACATGACAATATTAGTAAATGGATAAATGAAAGCATGACAGAGATGCCTGGTCTCATATCTCTTTAGATACCATGAGGGTAACTCTTATATGGAGATGTAATATACAAAAATATTCAGAGCTACATCGTTAGCAAGAGCAAAAAGTATGAAAAACCCAAAAATTTCTTCCAAATAGAATGAAAACAATTAGTGTGTTTATACTAAGATTATTGTACAATAATAAAGACTAAATAAACCAAAGCAGAAACACATGGGTTAATTTTGAGTTTACTATTGAATGTCACATGCGTCTTAAAGATGACAGAGAGTACAATTCCAGACCAAAGAAAATCAAGAGGCATGTATGAAAAAGTTATTTTGAAGCAAGGCCCCAAAGTCTAGTAAGATGTTTTTCCGGAAGGGCTGGGAAGATGGCTCAGTCAGTAAAGTATTTGCAAATAAGCATAAGGAACCAAGTTCGAGCTCCAGCACTCATATCAAAGCAGTTTGCACTGTAATCCTTGGGAAAGTGTACTAGGAGGATCCCTGGAGTTCAGTGTCCAATCAAGCCAGTCAAGCTAAGTTCGGTGGACTCAGTGTTTATCTAGAGACCCTGTCTCAGACTAAGGTCAGAGCAGCAAGACGCCTCCGTGGGTAAAAGAGTTTTCTCAGAAACCCGGCAGCCTGACAAGATCCCCAGAACCCACATTAGAAGAGCCCGATGCAGTGGTGTACATGTGTGATCGCGGCACTCCGTCCCGCGTGGTGGTGTGGGGAGACGGGAGGCAGAGCCAGAAAAGGCCGACTAGCCTGGCGCACACCGCGCAGAAGCCAATTCACAGCAAGGTCGAGGGTGAGAGCCTTTAAAATTGTCCTCTGACTTCCACATATACCTCAAATGCACAAGCTCACACGTGTGCACACGCATGCCCACAGACACAGACACACGTAGACAGAGCAACAACTTGGGATCTGTGTGGTAGGAGAGACGTGCTTCCTGCCGGGTGGCCTCCGACTTCCACACTCAGGCAGTGGCACATGCGCACACACGCACCACACCATACCACACCACTCCACACCACACTACCCACTAAATAACTAGAATGTAATTGAAAAGGAAAGGGTGCTGAGTGATTGAGAAAGGCACTGACTTTGGCCTCTGGCCTCCACATTTACGCAAACATTGAGTGTGTAAGCGTGCATGTAAAAATGAAAAGTAGTTTAAAAATCTAAACATTTGAAAATACAAAAGTCAGGCTAGATTTTACCTTTGTTGGGTACAGAGGGGATGAGGTAGAAATCAGGTCTGATCACCTGTTCTGGCCTCAGTATTTGCAACAACCCAAAGTCCGCACCAGCAGAGTATTTATTAACACGAGGTTCCCGTTACTTTCGCATATTTCTTTTAGAACTTTTAGCCAATACAGAGAGAGAAGAAAAAATGCAATAAAAGCAGGCTGAAGTGAGGGGTTTTGCTTTGCACATGATGGTATCATTTGGAAAACCCAACAATATCAATTAAAGAATCCAAGAGGGGACTGGAGAGGAGACCCAGAGGTTAAGGGCACTGGCTGTTCTTGTGGAGACTGGGGTTCTGTTCCTGACACCCACATGGCAGCTCAGAATGCTCTCTAACTCCAGTTCCATGATGTCCGATGTCCTCTCCAGGCTTCTGCGGGGGCTGCATGCATGTAGCTCACATAATACTAACTTTTAAAAGAAATCTCTGGAAACTGGTAAAACACGAGCGAAGGAAGGATTTCTTGGTGGTAATATTGTCCACTTGTTAACCACTTTGTGCCAGAAACTCTGCTCAGCACTTTGCACTCAGGTTTCGGTGATGCTTTACCTCTCTGTCCACCATGCTTTCTCCAAGGGAATGAGGAAATGGCTCTTGCTGAGCCAGACGCCTAAGTGGCAGGACAGGGTTGAAACTTGTTTTGCATGACTCATAGCTTGTACCCAGAAATACCGTCATCTTCTCGCTAAACTAATCTAAATATTGACTTCAGATATTTTGTCCAAAGCAAAAATAATCAGTGCCTTAGGTTTTTTTGTTTTGTTTTGTTTTGTTTTCTGTGAAGAGACACCATGGCTATGACTGCTCTTATAAAGAAAACAACGCATTGAGGTGGTGGCTGAGAGTTTCGGAGGCTAAGTCTGGTTAAGTCCATTATCAGGATGGGGAATGTGGAGGTGTGCAGGAGACATGGTGTTGGCTATGCTTTGATCAGGAGGCAGCTGGAAGTCAGCTGACTGTCACTCTGAGGGAAGCTTGAGAAAAAGACCTCAAAGCCCGCCTCTCAGTGACACACTTCCTCCAACAAGGCTACTCCGCCTAAGAATGTCGCTCCCTTCCTAGGCCATTTTCTTCCAAACCACCACAGTCAGTGACCAGGAAAGTTGTCTAGGGACAATGTGGCTCCCTTTGCGGGTGGGCATTGTTTAAGTATGACATCACCTGTTTCACTTAAAAATACGTGTACCTGGGGCTGGAAGAATGGCTTGGTGGTTAAAAGAACTGGCTGCTCTTCTAGAGGTTCAATTCCCAGCAGCCACAAGGTGTCTCACAACCATCTACAATGGGTTTTAATGCCCCTTTCTGGCATAAAGTGGATAGAACACTTATAAACAAACAAACAAACACACACATCTTAAAAAGACTTGTTTAAAAGAAAAAAGTACACATACCTCAGATGGACCACATATGAACAGAGAGGAAATGAGAGTCTGTGTCCTAAGCAAGTCTGCAGAAGACAAAAGAAAGCCATCTTTGGGGCTGAGAAAACTGGGAAAACGGTTCAGCAGCCAAGCATATTTGCTGCTCTTGCGGAGGACCAGGCTCAGGTCTCAGGCCCACAGAGTAACCTGCAACTCCAGTTCCAGGGGAACCAGCACCTTCTGACCACCATGGGCACTGCATTCACCTGGTGCATGCACAAACATGCAGGCAAAAATACACACACACACACACACATAAAAGTAAGTTCTTCTTCTTTTTTTTTTTTAATGCTACCTTTAAAAATCCTCTTTCAGCTCCTCTTTCCCTTCAAACACCATTTAGGCTGCTACGTCTCAGTCAATATTACTCAGTTGCAATAGAATCGTAATTAACAATTGAAACTATGCCTTGATTGGGTGGTATGTTTTTGTGCTTCTCCTCCAAGAAGCTGTCAAAGTTGCTTCCATTAGCAGCCGATTCTGTCGGGCTTCATCCCAGCTGGTAGATGAATTGAATACATAAGGAAGGACTGGGTTTAAGCCATCTCTCATTGAATGGACATTGACTGCATTATTCCTGTGTTCTACTTCACTTTTAACGTCTGTTCTTTTTGTCCTGGAGGCCCTTGGACTTTCACAAAAGTTTGCTGAACTTACAGTTTTCTCAACTTCCCTCTGGAAAATGCTGGGAACAGCCTCTTGCTCACCCCTCCCTATCCTACCTCATTACAAGGAAGTGTGGTGGGTTTGGCCAAGCTCACGAAACCCAGCTTCACCGTCACCTCTCCTTAGTAGTCACAGATAAAGAGAAGAAGGGACTTTAGAGGTCAGCGAGCCCTCGGGGCTTTTTTACTAGCTCCTTCTGGAATGCTGGTCTCCCTCAGGTTGTTTTTTTCCTTCTCAGACCTCCAAACTCCCTAACAAGACAGAGCTCTGCGCCCGACTAGCAGAACTTGAGGAACAAGGCTGCCCCCGTGTGGTGGGAAATGTGAACACCAGAGGGATTTGTGCAAAAAAGTGAGAAATATGAAGAAATATGAAGAAAAAGGTGAGCTTCCGTGAACAAAAATGGTAATTTACAAATGATCTGGAACTCACATCAGGCTCTAATAATTATGAAAATGCAAAATCTTCGTTAGATAACATTAGGAACTCATGGCACAACCCCCATGGAAGGACCTAAACCCCAGGAAGAGATTATAATGGACAGGTGTTTTAGGTTTACAGACTCACTCCCCTCCCCCACATAGTCCTATCTAAAAACAGGCTAGATATACATAATTTTGCCAAGTAAAAGAAAGTTATATAGGGTATGTTGTTCTTGAAATTCGTGTTTTTGGTTTTTCCCACAGACAAAATAGGATCCCTGTTGAGTGAAGCAAGTGTTAAAGTGTAAAATGCTCACACAGACCTTGCCTTCAAGGTCTTCAGAAGTTGGGTGGTTTCTGCTCTAGTTTCAGAGCAGCAGAACTGTGGACTGAACTCTGCTTCTGTTTAGTTTTCTGTTCTGGGATACAGTCTCACTACAGCCCAGGTTGTTCGTAGACTCGGGGACTGCCTTAGCCTGCTGAGAGCTGGGATTACAAATTGTCATGTCTGGCCTATTTGTTGTTGTTGTTGCTAAGCACAAAGTGGAGGCTTGAAAAACCCATTTCCTAGAGACACATCCTGATATGTCATGGCTCTAGCAAGCTGACGCAGGACAAGAAACACACAGGGAAAAATCAGCCTGCTCAGATGATCCATTATGTCATTTCCATCCCGGACGGTCGCCCATAGTCACAGTGGGTACACGCCTAGCTGCCCAGTTTTACCGGAACCTGCGAGGATGGGTAGAGGGGATTGTACAAATGGTTGATCTCTGGTAACAGAAAGGTTAGAGGTTAGCTTCCTTGTTACACAACTCAGCATCCTCAGAGGATGTCAACCAACTACATAACTAAACGCAGCTGGAAAATGGATGCTGCTCGTTTTAGTCTTTTAAAACCTGGAGCAGTGGACAGCAAGAAAATTGGTACCATAGAGGAGGAAGAAAGGGTAACCGGAGGCGCTCTGCCCTTGTGGCATGATTGAGAAGTATTCTCTGGCCTCTGACCTATTTGGACCCATAATCTAGCTCTACCACTAACAACCTCTCTAGCCTTCAGTTTCTAATCCTGGGCATGAAATCGCAATCCCTAGGTGGTGGCAAGGACCGCATCGAAGTACACGCATGGAAACTAGCCCTTGCCTCGCTCTCATTCGAGATCCATAAATATTAGCCTAATAGAGTCGCCCATGCGCAGTAGAGATGTGTGCATCCAGATTCAGTGTGCCCACAATGAAGCTATAGAATTTTACGATGAAAAAACAGCTCCCCTGCATTTTTAAGGCATTTACAGGAAATATGTCATCTAACATAACAGTCACCTTAGTGGGGGTGCCTGGAATTTAACATGTCTCCAGATCTCACTCTCTGGGTGAGAAATCAAGCCTGGGTTTGTTAATGAGTGCGCTGATTTTCTAGTCACGTGGATCCAAGATTCATTGTGCAGATGCATCGCTTTCTAGTTGGATGTCTTTGGACTTCGTTTCCCTCACATGTAACACAGAATCAGAGCTACTACTCACTCACTGCTCACAAATGTGTCACACTAATTATGACGCCAGGGATGCGACACAGGGAAATACCTATGTTAGAGAAAACCCCAATTAATTTTTTTTTTTTTTTTTTTTTGCTCTCTTGAAATTCTTTGATGGTGGTGGTGATGGCGACGGACATGTCCAGAGAAATCCTGAGACTTGGGAAGCTGGTAATTGGTTCACAAAGTCATTTGGTCTTCTAAGTAGAAAAATAAGAACGGAGGGAGACAATGATGTGGCGGTGGTCCAATTGCCGGCTTGATGCTTCTGAACTCCAAATCGGTGCTCTCCTCTAAGTCCACAAGTGGGGCTGTACTCTCCAGCAACTCGGAGCAACACTTTGTCAGTAGAGGGCGCCAGAGGGACGCTGCAGAGTAAGCGTCTTTTTTCCTAACTGGCCCACAAGCTTGTTTGCTAGCCCTTGCCATTCAAGCTGGCGCTGAAAATGGGGGGCTGACAATAGCGGTTAGCAGCTAGAACACAGCACTTCTGGAGTGGTACCCTCCAGTCAGCCATCCCCTCAGGTAGCTTTCTTTACAAGAACTCCTCAAGCGTGATGTAGATGACTTTTCATGGAACCCAGAAAGCAAAGAGCCAGTACCGTCTTGCTGTTGTCTTCCCCAGCTTGCCGGCTTCTGCCCACACCCCAGAGAGCTGTCTCCTGTGTACCAGTTCTAGCTGAAATTCCTATGTTACCAGTTTCTGCTGGACGTGCTGTTGGGTCAGTTCCTACCTCCCACCGACTGTCTCCTCTGTCCAAAGGACCTCGTGAAGGTCTGGACCATAGGCTTGGGGGGACAGATTCTTTTCCAAGGTTGTCCCTCCAGAGGTTACTCTCCCAGTCCTACCGTGTTCCCTCTACGGCTCACCCTCGACTGTAGTTAAGTTTTTAAAGGAAACGTTCATTGTCCGGATGAACTCTATTCTGCCACTGAAGAACGTTTTCTGTGACTGTATTCTCTTCAGTCCTTACATCATCCCTGGGGACCCCTAAGTGCTTAATGAAGATTTTTATTCCTTTATATGAATCTCATCCTTGCTATCGATCCATCCCTGGGTAAAGTGTAAATATCGCCAAGGAGTGGAATCTGTATTTATGGGGGTTTGCAAGTGTTGTGACTCCTTCAGTTATTAGTCGACTAACTGGACTGATGTGAGAATCCAGCTCACTCACTACAGCGTTTGTTTCCAGCCGAGTGGGCAAGGCTTCTGGCTGGGCGTGGCATTCAGTTGGACCTAGAGAAAAAGCATGGGACTTTGCAAAACTGTAATATAAACACCATCATGGGAATCATCTATGCAGAAGGAAAGATACAGACACACATGTGTTCGTTTGGAACGAATGCCTTGGACATAGAAAAAGTAGGAATGTAGTTGATATAGTAGGAGGCTGCTTGTTCATCCTGGCCACCCAGACCTGAAATAACTACCCAGAAACTGTAGTAATTAAATCAGTGCTTGGCCCATTAGCTCTAGCTTCTTATTGGCTAGCTCTTACATCTTAATTTAACCCATTTCTAGTAATCTGTGTATCACCACGTGGCTGTGGCTTACCAGGTAAATTTGGGCGTCTACATGGCTTCTCCCTGACTCCACCTCCTTTCTTTCAGCGTTCAGTTTAGTTTTCCCCACCTAGCTCTACTCTACCCTATCACAGGCCTGAGACAGTTTCTTTATTAACCAATAGTATTTACAACACACAGAGGAGAATCCCACATCCGCTGGAAAGGAGGCAGAGCTGGAGCACAGAAGGGGTTGAATGCAAGGTATATAGTATGGGGGAGGTACGAGTTCAGGAAGATTTGTAGTGTAGAATAGGTTAAATTGGGACCTAAGCCAAGTAACTTACAAGAAAATTATTGAACATTCATGATATGAGAAAATCTGAACCCACAATTGCAACATGGGAAGAGGAAGAGGAAAAAAAAACAGATATAAAGAAAGAATGTGCATTAGATCCCAAATGGGAGGCTGTGAGAGGAGACCTTGCCAAAGCTGGGTGTGCAGTTTGTGTGCGGCCACAGGTATAGGGAGTCATGGGGGAAATGGTTGGTGTTGACTTCCCAGCCTGACTGGAACGTACTATGAGGCATGGAAAACTCTGGGCCAGCAGGATGGCTCAGCAGGTAAAGGTGCTTGCCAACAAGCCTAATGACCTGGTTTGACACCACAACCCCCATGGTGGAAGGCGAGAACAGCCCCTGACAGCTGTGTGTGCACACATATACGTGGACTCAGAGTGAGTAAGTAAGCGGGAGGAGACTTAAAGTAGAAAATAATTTACAGGAAATAGGAATCACACGCTAATATGATTCAAGCATTCTTTGCCTCCAGTCTCCTGCCGCCTGCTTGAGAAGGATTCATGAAGAAGGGAAGGTGAACCTTTATCACCTAAGTGAATTTTTGGAGGCCCTTTGACTGTCATGCTAATTCTGAGACACTAAACATTTCTCTGAGCCATAGAGTAGCAATTCAACAGTTAGGAAGCCTAACTCGAGGTAGTGGCAGACATTCTGCACTGTATTGGGTGCTAAGGCTCAGCTCCCCAGCCCAGACCTGATGGGAATGGAACAGGAGCACATAAGTGCCCTCCTTGTCGTTCTCTTCCATTTTTCTCTTCCTTTACTCCTATCCCTCCCAGTGTAGACAGGAAGGGATGGACCCAGACCTACAGAGCAAGATCAAGATCTTATAGGAACAAGGACTCCCTATAATTTGGTTGCAAGACCTCTGAATCTGCACACATAGAGAATAGAGTACTGTCATGTGTCCCAGACAGACACAACAACATACCACATTAGGAGGCCTCTTTAATCAACTTGAACTGAGTCCAAGGTGGTTTCATGCCATCTACCTTGAGAGGATGTCAAGCTCTGAGCATGTATCTTGGTGCAGCATCTTCACGCTGACTCTGCCACTTAGGAAAGGATCTCTGTGACCCCCATAAATGTGCCCTCTTGCCTCTTTAGGAAGAACATCATACTCTTAGAGGAATCCTCAGAGCCTCCGTCACCCACATGATAGTTCTGTCTTTTCTTCCTTGGAATGAGGCTGGGATGGAGCTTAGAGCTCAGCCCCAATCACACAGGTCTTTTTTCCAAAGCACCCCAAACACTTCTTATCTCATCTCAAAAGGATGGACGCTTTCCCATCCTTTTCCATTCTGGCTTTGATTGAGAGGCTGAAGGGGTTCAATCAGTTTTGGAATCACTGCCTTTATAAATACTTCAGAAGGGACTCTGCTTTGAGTCTGGCATCTGGCATCACTGACTCAGTAGAAACGTTAGTGTGAACATTCTCTTACGCAAAGACTGTTTTTAATTACAAACTTTCGAATTCTTCAATAAAGCTCAAAGGAAGTCAATGCTATGACATAGAATTAAAGTTTACATACACAAATATATATTGTATGAAGTTTT